GTGATTATTCTTTGTGGGCGCAAGGAGGAATTGAGTAACTTCAATTTGATCATGTTTGAGTTGTCTGAATATATGTGAAGCTGTGTGTTACACCAGGTCGGAAATAAAGGCCCTTGTAGTTTTCTTCTTTGCTGATACGGGATTTCTTCTGCTTCTTTAATCATTCCAATGGAATAGTTCCAACCAGCTCGAATTCTGATACAATCTGAAGAAATTTGCTTTTGCTTTCACAAAGGATTTAATTTATAACTATTTAAAACATTCATTTTGTGCAGGTCTGTGAATTTCTGTTAGCACAGTGCTTTTTATGAATCGTGCATCTACGGTTTTTCCATATACAACTAATGCATTTGCATTTTATTTTTGCATCTATAATCCCATAGAAATGTGAATACATTCCCATCAAAGCTGTTGGTATATTCCATATGTCCATTCCATATGCATTCTGATATCTCATGCATAATAACCATGAGTGCCAGCCCTGTTTTTAAACATGGGTGCCTAAGCAGGCTGTTCATTTGTTGCATTTGGACACAGACTGGCACTTAAGCGTTCTTTTACAGTCATTTTGGTATGATCAGTTTCCTTGTCTTTCCTTTTTTGGACATAGTGCAAGGGGAACAGAGTTACAGTGGTGAATGCATCTATTACTCTGTGTACATCTGCACTGCAGCTGGGAGAGGATTTCCCAGCTTGGGTAAACAACCCCACATTAGCTCTGCTTCAGCAAGCATGCTAAAAATAGCATTATAGCTGGGGGTCGTGCTGGTGGCGATTCAGGCTAGCTACCCAAGGGCATCCTCCGTGTGGATGGGTATGTACTCTGGAAGATAACCCAAGCCACTCCTGCCCCCAAATATTTTTAGCATAGTAACTGCAGCAAATCTAGTGCCTGTCTACCTGATGTAGGAAGCACAATCTCAGATGCACTGTAAACACGAAATCTTCTACTTTTAGGCACTGGAAAACTTTAATTTCAATGCTTGCTTAATATATCACCAGTGAATTTAAGTGGGTCAGACTTTTGTGCACTGATGCCCTAAGCACCATTGTTATGCCTCCTCCTCATTCCCTGGTGCCTCCCAAGCAGTAACCCACAGTCTTCTATTTGTATTACGCCCTGATCCAGAAAGGTTTGTACTCGGTTCTGTGCCAAGACTAGGCCAGCAAAGATTCTTTAGGCAGTGAAGAGTGATTCGGGACTGCCAAGATAGGATCAACCATAGTAGTCCCCTGTGATGCCCATCAGAATCCTAGGCCTTGCGACGGTACTTATTAAAGTCAATTAAAAGTCTCCAGTGAACATTGTATTGGTCCCTTTAGTCAATGCCAAGAGTTGATTGATCCTGGATGAGAAACTGATGCCTCAGGTAAATGCAGAAAAAATGCTTCTGTGCTGTGCAAGTCATTGAGACAATGACCCACAGGGAATATTAATCCTCATTAATAGCTGCATAAAGCCTGATGTGTAAGGTTGCCAGGTGGCTGGTTTTCACCCAGACTGTCCATTATTCGGGTCTCCCGTCCAGTAAAAAAAAAACAGAAAATACCGGACATGTGAAATGTCAGGTATTTTCTGTTTCCCTCTGATGGAAGCCCAGCAGGGACAATTTTCCTCTGCCGTGTTTGCAGGGGCAGGGGAGTGAGGAGCGTGGGGTCATTTAAAGGAGCAGCAACTTTTTTTTTGGCTTAACAACTTTGGTCCCCCCCTTCCTTTTTTTCCCTCACAGCTTTGGTCTCCCCCCACCCTTTTTTTTTCCGCAACAGAATTTTTCCCTGGTGGTGGTGTTTTTTTTGGGGGAAGGGAGTTTGGTATTTTTTGTTAAACCATCTGGCAACCCTACTGATGTGCTCTGCTTCATATTGCCATGAAGCAGAACACAACACCTATTTTCTTTCCTTTCTTGTCAGTGTGCGCTCAGTCAGAATCCAAAATGAACTCCTGGCTGACTAGCATGAGCTATTGTATGGAAAACATATCTCATTGAGTAAGAGCTGTTTCTTTTCAGTGAATGTATGCTGCAGGTGCTGATTTACACCATTTCTGAATAAGGAGATGTTACTGGTGTTTATTGCTGATTGGGATAAATCCAATAGCCTTTCCTGAAAGAGGAAAGTGATTTGCTGCCATCTGGTGGTTAATGTATTGACTGGCTAAATTTTGTTATGAGCGAGCACTGCTAGCTGACGTGCCCTTTTCATGGACACTGGTAGGCATATGCCGTGTACTAGGGATTCTCAATCTCTTTCTTTTTCAGCCTGCCCCAAAATGCTATCAAAATTCCACAGCCTACCTGTGCCACAACAACTGCTTTTCTACAGATCTAGTATATTAAAAGCCAGGGTCAGTGTTTCAGGGTGTACCAAGCTGGGCAATTCCCCCAGGCCCCACACCACAGGTAGCCCTCTGAAGCTAAGTTGCCTGGGATTTGCATTTCAGCCTAGCTGGCAAGGCCAGGGCTTCAGCGTTTTGCCCGGGGCCCCAGCAAATCTCATGCCAGCCTTGCTCTCTGGTTCATTTTGGAGGCTCCCTGAAACCTGCTTGTATCGTACCAGAGGGCCTCAGACCCCGGGTTGAAAACTGCTGCCATGTACAACATTGCATTCAACTTTAGTTTTCTTGAAGGAACTCTTTAGCCTTTGTCTGGCTTTTTACTAAGACATCCTTAGATATTTGTATCTATACCCACTTATATTAGCTAGTGCCTGTGGTATTTCTTTAGGCATGTCTTCCTTTGGAGGTTATGGAGAAAGCAAATGAACATGTAATTGGGTAAGATACTTTGAAATCTGTACACATTAGTTATGTCCTGGCAGTATCCTATCTTCTCTGTGCATTTGTTATTTCAAGTTCGGAGCTGGAGAGCAGTGGCTGCTGGTTGTGAGTTCAGCTCTGAATAGGGTTGCCAGGTGTCTGATATTGAAATGGACAGTCCGGTATTTTTGCCTCCTGTCCGGTAAAAAAAATTCAGAAAATACCGGACACCTTAAATGTGTGGTATTTTCTGCTTTTTTCCCCTGCCAGGAGGCGAAAATACCAGACACCTGGCAAGCCCTACGACACAGTCGGCAACTGGGCCTAACCCCCGGTTTCCCATCCCCCCACCCTGGTCCTCTGGCCCCTCCACCCCCAGGCCCCCTGCTTACCTGGGAGGAGGCTTGATCAAGAAAACAAAAAGCCTAAAGACCTAAGGCAAGGGGAAGCAATGCCTTCCCTGGGTTTTAGTGCTCAACCTCTCCCCTCTTGCACTTAAAGGGGCCATGCTGTTTTGTTTTATTTTATTTTATTTTATTTTATCGTTTTCGCGATAGCATGATTATTTTTTTAGGGAACGTTTTTTGAATTTACACGACCATCCCCGGAATAACACGATTTCCCCAGCAGGCCCGGTAGGCAAAGCACGATTTGCCCAGCAGGCAAAGCAGCGGAGGGTTTGCCGCTCGACACACTATTCCCCGCTGAACCCCCCTCGCTGGACGCAGTGCGAGTCCCTGCAGACCCGTCACAGGGGCATACTCCCAACCTAATCCCTCTCTCCTCCCCTCTCCTCTCCTTCCCTTCCCCAGAGCCAAACTCCTCCCCGCCCTGCCGTAACCCAGTCCCTTTTCTCCCCCAACGTTATGTCCCAGTCCCAACAGACACCACCGCTTGAAACACAACCCCCCAGCTTTTCCATTATTTTTAATGGGAAAACTGACCCTGCAAAACATGTTTTCACTTTACACGATCATTTTCTGAAACATATCTATAGTGTTAAATGAGGAATTACTGTATTACAGGCACTGCTCTCCAGTTGTCCAGTTCTAAAGGCAGGTGGCAATACTGCAAACCTCCTAAAATAACTTGGCAATCCTCTGCAACTCCCTTTTGGGCCAGGACTCCCAATTTGAGAAACACTGGCTTCCCTCTTGAAATCTGTGTAGTAAAGGGTAAAGGTGCTCAAAAGGCCAGATTTCACAAGAGGATGCCAGATTTCACAATGTGTGATGCATTTTGTGTGGCTGTGAACTTGTTAGGGTCCTACTCATGAGGAATTTTATGTGGTATAACTTAGGTCCAGGTATGATGATAGAGGATGGCATGGAGATTAAGACTTTCACCCCAGGAACTCGTGAAACCCTAGGTTGATGTTTTGCCCTGCCACTGACAGTCTGTATTTGATCTTTGACAAATCACATAGGGTGGTTTCACGGAGGTAGATGGGTGTCCAAGACCTAGGTTCTGACTCCCCTGTGATCTACAAAACTGTGGCCAAACCAGGTGCTCTAGGTGCCTAAATCAGAGGTGGGCAATCATTTTTTTGGGAGGGGGACATTCCAAGATTTTGGAAAGTGGTCAAGGGCCACACTCTTCCATGATATTAATGGAGATGCTGGGTCTGGGATGGAGGTTGGGTGCAGAAGGCAGCTTGGGGTTAGCGATTGGGGTGCAGGAGGGAGACTGGAGTCTGGGAGGGAGTTTGGATGAAGGAGGCGGTTGTGACCTAGGGTAGGGGACTGGAGTGCAGGGGTTTGGGATGTGACCTAGGGCAGGAGGGGATTGTGATCTGGGGCAGGAGATTGGGATGCCAGATCTGGGAGGGGGTATGGGTGTAGTAGGGGGACAGAGGGTTTGGGTATGTTGAGTGAGTGGGGGGCAGAGAGTTGGGGCAGTAAAGGGCTGGGGTGGCAGAAGCAGGCTGTGGCCAAGAGACTTACTTGTCAGCTGCCAAACTAGCCTGCCTGCCTGCTTGCAGAGTTTAAAAAGTTTCCTAGCCATCCAGCCTGCTTGCCGGGCCATGTGCTTCATGATAACTGAACCCAGGAGAGGGGGAGTGATTCTTCTTAGCTGCCTGTTATTCTAACAAGCAGCTCACATTGGCCGGTTTCTGTATGTACAAAAGAAATTAAAGAATGAAATGAAAATTTAGCTTATTGTACCTGCCCTCCCATTCCCCCCTTTTTTTTAACTAAATTACAGTATAAGATATTTAGTAATTTTTACTTTTTTCCCCCCCCAGTTTCCTTATAGTGCTGATCTGCCTTATATTCAGTGTGCTTTCTACAATTGAACAATATACAACTCTGGCCACAGGGACGTTATTCTGGATGGTATGTACATTGACCTTCATTGGATGAATATGTTTGTGTTTGTGTATGTTTCTGTTTTTTCTTAATTCTCATTTGCTGAGTCTGTATTTTTGTGACTTGTTAATATTCTGCATTGTTATCTGGAATTTAAAACAGTAAATTCCTGCACGTGCTCATTCATTATACGTGTGTTTCTTTTCTCCCTTACGTCACTGTACATCCAGGATAACTCCATAGAAATGAATGTAGCCACACTGGTACAAAATCAGGATGAGAGGACAGTTGAACACCCACAATTTCTGATGCAGCATTTATGACCCATTTGAGACTTTCAAACAAGACTGTACCACTTCTCTTTCTTTAACATCTCTTAGAACTTAAACCAAAACCTACTGAAGACAATGGAAGGACTCCCATTGACTTTAATGGGGGATGAATCCAGCCTTAAAGCCCCACTTCCCAAGGGGAACGCTTTTAGCCTGTTTAATTTGTCATAGCTTAGGATCTGCCCAGGATGAGAGGGGAAGTATCTTCTCTTCAGTAGAGACTGCTTTCTCCAGAGCCTACGAAAGCTGCTACCTGTATTTGCCAAGGGGATGGCTAAAGACAAATGTAAAGCTTAGAGCAATATCTCCATTACTCACTAAGCACATGAACATGTGGCTCCACACTCCGGGCCTAGATTCTAATTCTCGGGGAGATTATTCATTTGTTGTCACAATATTACCAGCTTTAGGTGTGCTATCAAAGGGTGATCTCTTAAATTAAAAAATAGTCATTAGTTACTACAAGTGGTAACAAGGAGATCAATTTTTATATATGTTAAATTTAGTTTGCATATGACAGTAATGGGCACATTATCTATTCCTAGCCTAGATTTTAATGAGAACCATTATGTATGTGCCTGGTACATATTTTTAAATTAACCACATAGTGATAGGAACACCATTTGTGTGTGTGTGTGTGTGTGTGTGTGTGTGTGTGTGTGTGTGTGTGTGTGTGTGTGTGTGAGAGAGAGAGAGAGAGAGAGGTTTCAGTGCATCCATGGAGTTTTGTATTAACTGTAGTCATTTCTGTTTATCTATACAATAATATTAACTTTTTATCACATTGCCTTCAAAAATTATAGTACACTTGGTGTGTCCACTCAATTACAAGTTGCTGGTAAGTGTAATATTTCATATTGGGTACATGGTATCAAATTCAGTGAAACACCTCATTGCCATAACCATTTGCATTTGATACATTTGTTCATGCTATCATGGAACATGCAACTGATTATTGCTGATTATTGATTACCTTACTCTCTTAACTTCTAAAACAAATCTTCATTTCTATTGTACCTAATGATAAAAGTTCTGATTAATTTAGTTAATCCTGTACTGGGAATTCCCACTAGTATAGAATAATAGAATCCTAGAACTAGAGGGGACCTCGAGAGGTCATTGAGTCCAATCCCTTGCCCTCATGGCAGGACCAAGCACTGTCTAGATCATCCCTGACAGGTGTCTGTCTAACCTGCTCTTAAATATCTCCAGTGATGGAGATTCCACAACCGCCCTAGGCAATTTATTCCAGTGTTTAACCACACTGACAGTTAGGACGTTTTTCCTAATGTCCACCCTAAACCTCCCTTGCCGCAGTTTAAACCCATTGCTTCTTGTCCTATCCTCAGAGGCCAAGGAGAACAATTTTTCTCCCTCCTCCTTGTAACACCCTTTTAGATACTTGAAAACCTCTATCATGTCCCTTCTAAGTCTTCTCTTTTCTAAACTAAACAAGCCCAATTATTTTAGTCTTTCCTCATAGGTTATGTTTTCTAGATCTTTAATCATTTCTGTTGTCTTCTCTGGACCTTCTCCAATTTCTCCACGTCTTTCTTGAAATGCAGTGGCCAGAACTGGACACAGTACTTCAACTGAGGTCTAATCAGCACAGAATAGAGCGGAAGAATGACTTCTCATGTCTTTCTCACAACACTCCTGTTAATGCATCCCAGAATCATGTTAGCTTTTTTTGCAACAGTGTGACACTGTTGACTCATGTTAAACTTATGACCCCTAAATACCTTTCTGCAGTATTCCTTCCTAGACAGTCACTTCCTATTCTATATGTGTGAAACTGATTTGTCCTTCCTAAGTGGAGTATTTTGCATTTGTCCTTATCAAACTTCATCCTATTTACTGCAGACCATTTTTCCAGTTTGTCCAGATCATTTTGAATTTTGACCCTATCCTCCAAAGCACTTGCAACCCCTCCCAGCTTGGTATCATCTGAAAATTTAATAATTGTACTCTCTATGCCTTGATCAACATCATCATCTAAATCATTGAACAGAACCAGTCCCAAAACAAACCCCTGATGAACTCCACTTGTTATGCCCTTCAGCATGATTGTGAACCATTGATAACTACTCTCTGAGAATGATTATCCAACCAGTTATACACCCACTTTATAGTAGCCCCATCTAGGTTGCATTTCTCTAGTTTATTGATAAGAAGGTTATGCGAGACCGTGTCAAATGCCTTACTAAAGTCTAAGTATACCACATCCACTGCTTCTCCCTTATCCACGAGGCTTATATCCTATCAAAGAAAGCTATCGGATTGATTTGACATTATTTGTTCTTTACAAATCCATGCTGACTGTTACCGATCACCTTATTATCTTCTAGATGTTTGCAGATGGATTTCTTAATTATTTGCTCCATTATCTTCCCTAGCACAGAAGTTAAACTGATTCGTCTGTAGTTTCCTGGGTTGTTCTTATTTCCCTTTTTAGAGATAGACATTATATTTGCCCTTTTCCAGTCTTCTGGAACCTCTCCCAACTTCCATGATTTTTCAAAGGTGATATCTAAAGGCTCAGATACCTCCTCTATCAGCTCCTTGGATGCTTTTCATCAGGCCCTGGTGACTTTCAGCCATCTAACTTTTCTTGAGTAATTTTTAACTTGTTCTTTTATTTTCACATCTAAACCTATCCCATTTCCACTATCATTCACTATATTAGCTATCCCGTCACCATCCATCTCCTTGACAAAAACCGAAACAAAGAAATCATTAAGCACCATATGCATCAATATTTAGCAATGGCAAATCCTGACTTTCTTTCTTTTCCCAAAGGGTTAATTAAGGAAGTTCCTCTGATATAAAAAATAGATCAAATGCATGTTTTAAACAAAAGGCTTTGTACAGGCATTCAGTCAGTTCAATAAAGAAATGTATTCTGTGTTCATCCAAATTGTTTTCACGTAAACTTTTATATGGAGGTTTAGGTGTACACACGCATGCGAAAGCAAATATTAATCTGGGTTTATATTTTAGTATACAGGAAAGGGCGGAGTCAGCTGGCAGATGTTTAATGAAATCTATACAGTAAATATGTGAAAAATTGCTCTTTGTGTGTTTTATATGGAAGATTCTTCATGAGAGCATTGTCATCAATGACTGACTTGACTGTCAGCATGGAATATTTTTACATTAAATGGTCAAAGGTGTGTCCCCATGGGCTATGATTAAGGCGCTGGTTGTGGTACAGTCCCCTCCATGTTATGTAACTTGAATGGCCCTAGAGACTTTAGCTGACTGTGGAACTATTCATGGAGGGTATGTCTACACTACCCTCCTATTTCGAAATAGGAGGGTAATGTAGGCATACCGCAATTGCAAATGAAGCCCGGGAAATTCAACTCCCGGGCTTCATTTGCAATTGCGGTATGCCTACATTACCCTCCTATTTCGAAATAGGAGGGTAATGTAGGCATACCGCAATTGCAAATGAAGCCCGGGAGTTGAATTTCCCGGGCTTCATTTGCATAAGCGGGGCGCCGCCATTTTTAAATCCCCGCTCGTTCGAACCCCGGGCCGCGTGTAGCCGCGGGGTTCGAACGAGCGGGGATTTAAAAATGGCGGCGCCCCGCTTATGCAAATGAAGCCCGGGAAATTCAACTCCCGGGCTTCATTTGCAATTGCGGTATGCCTACATTACCCCGCTAGTTCGAACTAGCGGGGTAGTGTAGACATACCCGGAGTTAAGATGCCATTGAACATGATATAAGGATATCAGAATGTGTCTTATATTAGTACTGGCAGACTTACTGAGCATTGCCAGGTCCTTCAGGGCAGGGGGTTGGACTGGTGGGGTGTGTGTGGGCCTCAGGGCAGGGCCTTGGGAATGTGGGGGGATTGCAGGAGACAGGGTGGTAGGGGTGCGAGAGTGAGGGGTAGAGGTTGAGGAAGGGGTCAGGGCAGGGGGTCCCATCTGCCAGAGGCATTTCTTCTTCCCTGCAGGGCGCCCTCCATCCCAGCTGTCAGGGGTATTTTTGTCCTCCCCAGCCCCCCATCAGATGCCAGGGACATGTTTTCTCTTCCCAGATCCTCCCTCCCAGTTCCTCCTCCTCTGGCTGTCAAGGACCATTTTTTCTCTCCCCAGTCCTCCCCAGCTTCCAGGGGCATTTTCTCTCCTCCCCAGCTCCCTCTCAGCCACCTGGGGCCTTTTTCCTCCTTTTCTCTGGCAGTGCAGACGTCCTCCCCAGCCCCCCATCAGATGCCAGGGACATGTTTTCTCTTCCCAGATCCTCCCTCCCAGTTCCTCCTCCTCTGGCTGTCAAGGACCATTTTTTCTCTCCCCAGTCCTCCCCAGCTTCCAGGGGCATTTTCTCTCCTCCCCAGCTCCCTCTCAGCCACCTGGGGCCTTTTTCCTCCTTTTCTCTGGCAGTGCAGAC